GGGGGGGTGTACTCATCGTGAAGGGGGGGCGGGCGGCAAAATCCTACTCGTCTAATGGGGGAAACTGCCAGCATTCGGGTTCTCCTCTGCCACATCGGACTGCTATTATTGAATGATATTTTTGTTATTTCCACGAAATTAAAGGCCATGGCGGCTGTGCGGTATATGTACGTCAAGAGGCAAAAAAAGGTTCACGGGTTGCGAATGCCCTTCAAGGCGGTTACAACGCATTACCCAAAAGTACGCAGCAACGCGGTGCACCAACCATGCATGTGTTCGTGACGTTTCCGAGTACCTACAGTACCTGGGCCCCCACTATATTAAAAAAATGGAGCTTGGCCTACTACCAAAACCGTTTTGGGATGCTATTTATATTTATATAAAGAGGGCTCAATTTCGATCCCCCGGCCTTGAAAAACAAATCCTCGGATAACTACTGCTTACAAAAAAAAACAAAACAGGAAACACCTTTTGCCCCACGGCCAACAAAGCCAATCTAGATTTTTACTTTAATTTTTCCAAGCATCGATAGCACGTGGCCTCAGAACCGGGATCCCCGCTCACAACACAAACAAAACATTCATGGATTGATTTTCTCAACTTTCTAAACCGCAGCGACGGACGGCAACCGAATGGATTTAGGGAATTACTTAGACCCGAGCTAAAAAAAACAAAACACAACGCTACCAGTACGCTACGATAGCGGCCTACCTGTCTCCCACCCTGCTGCCCGCGGTGCGCCTTCCCTGGGTTCATTCGCTGCTCCTGCCGCTGCTTCATCTCCTCCACCATCCTGCAAACGAAGAAAAAGAAAACAAAAGTCCCCGGAAAAAATCATATTTGAGAAAAGATACCGCTGCTTCCTTCGCACCCGCGAAAAAACAAACAACAATCCAACACAAGGAAAAAGAAAATCGAAAGATCACACTGGAACCATCTTGTTGCCCACAAAGGGTAATCGGTCCACAGCAGTATATTTCCTTTCCCGAACCCTAAAGAAAGCCTGCAACACACGGTAGTAAAACAAATCGTCGAAACGTGAAGACAGCAAGCGGCTGGTGCGTGTGTTCCCGACCGCGTTTGCGTACAGTAGTAGCTTGGTCGCCAACTGCAAAAAAAAATGAAGGGAGGAGGTGGTTGTTATCGTCCGGTGGCTAAACCTCAACGAATGATCGACGTCTCATGGTCAATATCGTGCGCCGTCCTCTGCAAAAATGGGGCCGCTACACAGGCCTGTAACCCGAATGCATAGCCGTCTCTCTCTCTCTCTCTTCTTGCTGGGCCTAGGGCTCCTCATAATCCAAACGTATCCCGTACCACGGACCCACACCATCATATTTCTGCACGACACGTCCGTGAAAATGCGGTACACACACGCATGCTTGTAACCCGTCCTTTCCATGTAGCGGAGCGACTCACTTTTCCATTTCGCTCATGGGCTTTGCAGCCTTGGCTCCAGGCTTACCACCACCTAGCTTGTACTCCTCCCCCACCGCACCGGCACCTGGGAGCCCCATCAGCCTGTCGGGAGGAAAAGGCAACAGCGTGCAGATGAGCGCATTTGCACAAGCCACAGAGGTGAAGAGGGACAGGATAGAGCGTGGTTGAAACACCCGATGTAGTTTCAACATTTTTCCTTTTGGCATACACCACGAAAAAATTGCAGAGTTTGCTCCATAGAACAGCAGCAGTGTAAAGATTTGATTCGACTTGAAAAAAAAAAAACATGAACGTATAGAACAGACGCAGCGTAACCACTTGACACTCAACTTGAGAAAACAATTCCATGTGGCGAAGTAAAACCTCCGATCTATGACTCCAGCTGGTGCATCCCAAAACATAGAAAAGTGCGTACAACTGAAGCCTTGAAAAGGCGGGATCAACAACGTACAAGCACCTACCGACGACACAACACCGCCGCCGCCGTCGTACATAGCCGCAGCATCATCAGGGACAACCGCAGCAAAACACCACCGCCGCTATGTACGAAAACCACCAAACAACACTGAACTCACCCTGCTAGAGCGGACGGCATCGGCACCCCGCCGCCGCCGCCCGAAGCGGGCCCGTACGTTCCGAGAGCACTCCCCGAGCCCCCTCCGCCGCGCCCCGCCGCTCCCCTTGCGGGGGGCGCTCCCATCCCCCC